TAAGCTAAATAAATATGTTCAGCACTGTAAGACAATAAAATAAATAAAATAATATATAAATTAATAAATAATAAATAAATTTCCCAATGTTATACAAAACGCCATATACCCTAACAGTTAATGTTACTGAGAGCAATGCACAAAGAAAGAGGGAAATGGACACTGCCATCTTATATAGCTTAAGAAAAAAAGAGTAATAAACAACACAGGTATATCTGCTCCTGCCTCATATTTACCACAAAATGACAAAAATATCCACTGCTTATCATGCTCAAAGGCTAAGTCCACAACACCTTCAAACAGACAAAGTTATTAATTTGCATTTTTTATAAGTTGGCATCAAGTGCTAATGAAGGATGGGGGCAAGGGAAGGGGGCCTAGCTATCCCTGTCTAGGGATTAAATAGAAGGTAGCAAAATGTTAAATCTGGATTTTTTAGTTTGCATGATACCCTGGCTTAAGAGGCTTCATCTTCTGGAGGGAATGTCATTCTCAGTAACAAATACCATGCTTACAAAAAGCTAAAACCAAGCTAAAACTTCATAATGCCTTATTCACATCATTCAAAAGTTAATAACGAGCATGTGCTTTACATTCAATATGATTTCTGATTTTGGCAATCATAAAATAAGTGGATCCATATACTTTTCCTAGGCCCATCTTAATTTTTAAGCAAATTTAGTACCTTATCGTAAATTCACGAAATTCCAAGTTAATAACCACTTGAAATTTACGTCTTCTTCGGAACATGCCGTTTCATGTTTGCATACACGACACAAAGAGATCCGCTACACGATAACACTACTTAATAAATAAATATATATTGACACTTCACATGCTTGACTAGATACCAAGTCTCATAATATGAATCATCTCCCACGCGGTCACCAAGTCAATCATGATTCAACACCAGGATTTACGAAATTACAAAAGACCAGAACCGCGACTCAAAACACTCCCTCGGTTTCCAACACCCTCACCGTCGCCTTCAGGAATAAACTCCGGGAATTTTCTTAACCCCACATCTCACCTCGTCTGAGAGAAGTATGAGGCCCAGAGAGAGGACACGAGGTGCATGTGGCTCAAAGAGGATGCGAGGGGCGTCTCTCGCAGCCTCACAGGAACCCCAAGCCGCGCCGGACCGATGCGTCGCGTCCTACGTCACAATGGACCCTTCAAGTGCCTCATTTCAGGAACCTTTTTCCTTCTTTTTTACCTCTCCCGATGCTCGGCGACTACACCAGCCTTATTGCAATGTATCACAGAGGACGTGACAAGTCTCAGGAGTTCTTTCCACGCAGCCTACTCGCGTGGCTTCCCGCCGTTCATTGTCCACGAGGGAAATAAGGCAAGAGGCTCGAGGTCCCCGTCATGGAGGACGCGGCTCCGACACGAACCGCGAGTCTTCTCTCAACTGCTAAATACCATCACTTCCTTTCCTCCCACGAACCCGATTTGCAATTCCCTTTACCCTCTGATGCTTATGTAATCGGCAGATCCTCCTGACAAGCCTGACAAGGAACGTGAAAGCAAGTTCTTACCGATAAAGAGGGAAAATATTGGTCCACGTCCCGCTCTCGTGTCAGCGTCGCGTTGGGAAGCGGCGGCGGCGGGGCGGAGCGGCTGAGGTGCCAGATGCACGTGACGCGGCGGTTGCCACTCCTCGCTGGAGGGACTCGGGGCCTGGCGAGGGGCTGGGGGGAGGGAAGGGAGGGGGAGGGGAGGGGTGTCCGAGAGGGACTCGATGAGGGGCTTGGAAGAGGGGGGGGGGAAGGGGAGGGTGAAGGAGGGGGTGTCCAAGAGGGTTTCGATGAGGGGCTTTGAGGAAGGGGAGGGAGGGGAGGGGAGGGGAGGGGGGGGGGGGGGGGTAGCCAAAAGGGACTCGATGAGGGGCTTGTGGGTAGGGTGGGAGAGGGGTATCCTTGAGGTGGGGGAAATGGGGAGGGGGTTCCGAGGGAGGGGGTTATGGGGAAGGGGGCCCTGAGATCTGTGGTCGTAGGAGGAGAAGAGGACAGAGAAGAGGGGTCCTTAGGGTCTAGGGTCGTTGGGGAAGGGGGGGTTATAGGGGAGGGGTGTAAGGGGTGCGGGAACGTGAGAGGAGGAGGGGTTCGTGGGGCTGGGGTCGTTAGGGGAGAGGGAGGAAGAGGGGAGGGGAATGAATTGATTTTCTGAAACTACAAAAACAGTGGGAAGTCTACGGTGTTCTTTAGAAGGGGAAAGGTATTGTATTTTCGGATGCAAGAAAGGTACAGTTTTGAAATAAGTTTACATGCAGTCAATTATCCCATTCTTTAGGGAACTAAAACTGAGCGGAATCAGTCAGTTTTCGAAGAATTACTAAAATCGATAAAATTGTATAGTCGTCGGACAATACAGAAATGTAGAAATGTGAAACAAGTTTTAAAGAAATCGCAATAAGATGAATAGAAAATATCGCAAGCGTAATTATGTTAACCACAGGACTTTGATGGTCAGTCAGCAAAAGTTACTTCTTAAATAG